TTTTGTTGCCTTTGTAAGGGGTCCTCGGACATAAAATGTTTGAGAACCCCTGCCCTAAGTAAAAATGTGTCATTTTCTTAACATCTACCTGCAAAAATGACTATTTTACTTTCATCCTGTGCTGTTGAACATTTAAACAACTTTAACTGTATTTATATGTCAGACAAATATTTTGTGTCACTTTTTTGACCCCTAGTGGCCAAAAACAGAATAGTCAAAACGATACACTCCTCGTACATTCCAGTTAATTTTTTTTCGTATGATTGTAACTTTTAAAAATTGGGGAAAAAAAGAAAAAAAAAGTGACAAGACTGAATTGTTTCTCCAATCTACGAACATAAATCTGATCCAGGTTGTTTCTAAAGTCAGCTGTTGGTGCAGCTGACCTGAGCTGACCGTGTCCACACATTCCTCAGAAGCAGCTCCGCTCTGCCTGTGTTTGCTTTACGGCCTGTGGAGCGCTTCCAACCACATTAAAGGAGGCTGGGGCTCTAGGATTTACAGCCATTTATGGTATGTGGTTTGGGAGAGAATTGCCTTCACTGCAGATACATCATTGGAAGTGATAACTAGTAGATTGTTCACTCCGTGTACTCTTGTTTGATTAGAAATCTGCCCTCACACACACTGGAACAAATTTACTTCAGCAAAGCTTGAGCTAGTTTTGGCATCCCAAAGATTCAGAAAGGTTTACTTCAAAAGGGTTAATCTAAAAAAAAAAAAAACAACGTCAATAAGGCTGAATTTAGATTTAAAAATGTGCAGAGATAACACATAAAGTTTGCACTGTTTATAGCTTGATTCAAACACCTGCAGGACAAATAAGAGCCCAGATAAAAGACGCAGGAGGAACAAAACGAGCAGCTGATTTATTGGTTTTAAACTCCACACAACCTATTTGGATAAATAGTTTGTTATCCTGAAAGGGAAGTAGGTCGCAGACACTTGGAGGAGTTCCAGAGGACAGAAACTTAAATCAAACATGTTGAAGTTTCTTCAGCCGCTGAGACAGAGCTGTTTATTATTGATCCGAACCAACTGGAGGACCACCCAGCAGTCTGTGTGTCTGTGTGTGTGTGTGTGTGTGTTTACCTGTGGGGCGGGCTTCTTGTCAGGTTTGTTGCTGGTTCGTGCTCCTCTTTTCTTCTGGGAGTTCTGCAAAGACAAAAATGTTCTCATCAGCAACATGTTGTAGCTCCTGGATTCTTGAAAATGAAAACTGATTTAAAAAAATAAAAATAAAAACAGAATGTTAGAAGAGGATCTGCAGCAGATAGGCTGCAACTCTAGAATTATTTTTACTAATTGTTCGTGCTGTGTCAGACTGCGTCCAAAACTCTTGAAAACGTGACAGGGACCTTGTTGTTGTGAGGCAACGATGCTAACCAGCTGCTAAATGATGACAAGAACACACTAAAAATCATAAAAATGTAACACAAGCTGAACAAATGTTACCCTCACAGAGGAGCGAGTCTATTTCTAGGTGATTTTGTGGTGTTTTATTGACATCGGCTGAGTCTCTATTCATGGGTTGCAGCCGACGTGGTTCGTCGGCCGCTTACATCACTGCCCCGCGCCGTAGGCTGTCCCAATTTGTAGGCTCCAACACATGTGGCTGGAAAACCCCCGAAAATGTAGGCTGCTTCTGAGCATCCTATGTGGCCAACAGTATCCCAGAATGCATTGCACTGTCAGCAAATTAAATAGAAAAACAAAGATGGCAAAGTTTTTTTTTAAATTATTTTACGGCAGAGCTTTTTATTTTTTTTGTGACCAAGTTTGGAAATTTATCACGGGTTGAAGAAAGTAAGTTAGTAAGCAACTAAGTAAGCAACTTAGATGAAGAAACTTTTGTTGCAGTGAAATGTTAAATAAAATTCAGTTACAAGTACTGATACTGGAGGTAAACTCAAATTATTAAGGCTTTTTATCTATTTACTTGTAATGTTTTTGTATTAAAACTTAATTTTGTGTAGTTATACCTTGAAAATCAACTGAAGTGATGTGATATAAAATGTATCACCAGAGCTTTACAGTAACTGAGTACATTTACAGTACTTTGTCACAGTACTGTCATTTTACCAAGCCTTTTTTAAAATCATTTCTTTTACTTTGATTTAATTACATTTAAAACTTAAAAATTATACTTTTATTTGTTCACTTTAAAATTTAACACCTAGTTACAAAATTAAATATGTTTGAACTCATTGTGAAAGGAGATGTTTCTGCTCCTCTCTAAAAAATGAAGTGCTGAATTTACTCAACCAAGTCATATCAACTGGTTGTACCAACTGGCTTAATTTACTCAACTTGATTTAGTGGAACAAGTTTGGTTCAGTAAATTTATAGAATGTGTAAAAGTACTTTTACTTTCTTAGTTTCTGTGAACAGTTTTATTACTTTTACTTGAGTATTTTTCTCATCAGTTAAATTTATTTTTACCAGTCATTTTCTGTTAAGGTATTTTTACTTTTACTTAGTTATTGTCTTCAAGTACTTTGCATATCACCATGGTATTGAGACAGTGCTTGGTCATGCAAGCATGCGTCTTCCCTAGACTGGACCGTCTCATTTTTACAGACGTTCATGCAGTCGACACTAGCAACCTACGGCCCACATGGACTGTGGCCTACATCGGCCGCAACCCATGAATTGAGACACGGCCACTATGAAATTAAAACGCCCAACACTAAAGACACAGACATCTATATTTTATCAGTTGTATCAATATATGAACACATCAACCCAAATTACTCAGAAAATCTTTGTGAAATGAACAGCTTTCTTATCAAAAACTTCAATTTTAACCTTTAAATGTTTGTTGAAACTAAAGCAGAGGAGCGTGGCTCTCAGACATGAGACCTGCAAACACCTCCCATCACACTTTCTCCTCCTCCTTCAGGTGAGACCCGGCTGGGCGTCATGGTAACTTTAGTAATTTTAAATCATCTTTAGTTACTCTTCAGGGTGGTGTTCCACAAGGTTCCGTTCTCGGTCCTGTTTAATTTATGTTTATTTGCTTCATTAATACCATCATTCAATGTCTTTTAAAAGTTTATTTTACCATTTATTTGTTTTTGATATTCTAATATTGATTAATTTCAGTTTTCTTACTAAATCCATCTTTAGAGAAATTAATCTTTTCTAAACATCTCTTTTTACAGGTGCAGTTTTCACACTTTCTCCTCCTCCTTCAGGTGAGACCTGGCCGGGCGTCATGGTGATTTTAATCACCACCTGAACCCCGATGAGAAGATGGGATTACAGCCGAGGGCTGAAACGGAGACGCAAACGCACATGCATCAACCCCTGCTCATTGAAACCTGTCAGCCCAGTGGAACAGAACCTCATCAGTCATCGTTCACACCCTACAACCCTGACACCGCCCCCCCAAAATAAATAAATAAATAAATAAATAAATAAATAAATAAATAAATAAAATAACAATCCAGCATTTCAGGACCAGGTCTCACAGGGACTGCTGGTCCTGATGAGGCAGGTGATTCTAGAGAAAATGTCCTGAGAATTTAACAAAACCCAGGTGTACACACAGACACACACACACACACACACACACACACACACACACACACACACACACACAC